GTGAGGGGACAAAAAGCTGATATCCGGGGCTATAACCGGGTTGGTGGACCGCTGGCAGTTCATCTAGGGGAGTTTGCCAAATACCCTGATTCCAAACCAACCATGAGGAGGCGTACGAACAACACCCACATCTTCCCGGTTGTGGCAGTGGTCACCGGCTCTATTGGGCATCGAGGTGGATTGGGCACCTTGGACGTTTGACCCCGTCCAAAGGGCGAATGATCTGATCAACTGGACACTGGCCTGTAGTGAACTGCGGACTCTGAACTCTGTTCGGTAGTCTTGCAGGTTTGACTTCCTAGTGAAAGGCTTCGGGTAGGGACCCTTCCCCGTTTTTCGGGAAGTAACGTGCCCACACAACCTGCAAACACATTCTACAGAGTTTTTGTTTCATATGTTGTGGCTCACTTGCGAGTTCTGTGTACTTAGTTCCGTGTTGAAATAAATAAATACGCTATTATTGCTATTTATTCGGGGAAACTGTGAAAAATGTGGTTGCCGATTTTGCAAAACCGTTTTATTCTGGTGCTTTCAGTTTTCCAGCCGCTAACAAGATAAAAAATCATTTTTTATTTAGGTTAAAGCATACACAAATTCGAAATCCCGACAGTCAGGAAAGAAAAATGTCTGATACTGCCTGCGCATGTATATGTTTGTACACGACACCTACTCAGTTTCTTTGTTTTTTTTTTCAGATCTCTGTCACAATTCTGTCCTTGATCGTGTCGAAACAACATCTACAACATCACGCAGATCACAGAGTTAAACTTCCACCCTATCGTGTTCCGTTCGTGTTCTTGTGTCCGGATCAACCCGCATCGAAGTCACTGTGTCCTCTTTCTGATCGAATTTCCCGGTCGTAGTTACTGTTTGGGGGAGTTATCGGTGAACCCCTGAACCGATACAACTACCACTACTTCTACTACCCTTTTTCCCGGTTACTTGTCTTTCCGTTCCCGTCCCCCCGGTTCACAGTCTGGGCTCTCAGACCCCGTCGCATGTCTTTCTTGCTGATCGCACGTGTATTGATCCACGTTTAGGCACCCACACACGAATATGGGTCGAAAAAAAATTCTCATCAAACGCATTGACGATGAACGAAATCGACAGGTAAATTACCCCCCCCCTCTCTCTCTCGTCCACGCTAATGTCAATACTGGGGTTTGATTGATTGCTTCTATTATTCCGTAAAATGTTACCCATTATTAGTATGCTATCAGTTTACCGTACCGTATCATCGTGTATTTCATTTTCTGGCTACCTATCATCCGGATAGAATACACGGATGATGATGATGATGATGGCTCAGCGTTTGCTTTGGACCCTGTGGTTCGAGGTTCGAACCCTATCCCCACCGCCTAATCTATCGGGGCTTTAAGTGGTTCGCCACTCCAAGTCCCGGGGCTTAGGTTACTGACTTTTATTTTGGATCGATTAACTCCTGTAAGAGGATAAGTCGGCTTCTAATGATTGCGGCCCATGCATGACCATCGACATCAAGGTTGACGCAGTGAGAGATCCAGTTCTGGTTCCAGTTAAGAATTCCATCTACGGGATTGGATGCCCGGTAATTCCAAATGCGCCTTGATCAGTTGATCACCGGGTCGGCAACTGATGCGGGGTCTATAACCTGTCGCGAGAATTGAGTATCGGGCCTTCAGAGCACATAGCCAAATCACTGAAAGGCGCCGGCGTTGTAGCATTTTTTGAAAGTTTGTCAATGTTCAAGCAGCGCCGCTGAACCACATCATTAAAAATCCGATCTCTCCGTTATCAGTTTTCATCATTGAACAGCAGGTTCTTGTGACTAAGGGGTTTGCCCCGTCTACTGTTAAGGTGGGTAATTAAAAAAAACACGAACTGAAAACTAGGAAATATTAAACAGCTAGTTGATTCTTTTTTTGGAGGGGGGGGGGGAGGCCACATCAACACTGAGAGTTCAGCTACGCAACCGAGAATCGTGCTCTCAGGACCTTGTAGACCAACCGGATAACTAATCAAATCGCTTCACTTTTTCTATGCCCGGCATGACACAGTCAATCTGTTTTTGCCTATCTTCGTATCGACCGCATCTCGGCTGAATCCTTTATCTGTCCACTTTGTAGGACACGGTTATTGGGCTTCGTCTAATTTTGGGCTGCTTCCGAACTTCGTTGTTGAGACGTGGTGTACCATATGCCAAATGTCAATCAAATTCAAATTTTTATCAAAGGAAAAACTTAACAAGATCTCGCTTATCAAATCCCATAGGATATTTACACATTGGGTTCGGAACACGATTGACAACATCACAGTTAGTTCACGTACGTAAAAGAGTAATGTAATGTTTGTGCCGAGCTCAGGAGAATACAATATGTAGTCGGGTTTTGAAACAATGTTTACCAGAGCATCATCAAGCTGGCGCTTGAAATGTTGGCGCACAGACCACGTGAGGTGGTACAGAGTTCCATGTGCTGCACACTCTGACTGCCAGTGAATGGCGTCTGCAGTCTACATACTTCCATGTGAACAGCAATTTGATTTTGGTTTGACGCCTTACTTCTCTTGTAATATGCGTTTGTTTTAGTGAAGTCTACGATTTTCTCTGAGGAATCGTTTGAACGTGATTAGTTGGGTTGATCGCGGTTGATCGCATCACGGCGCATCATTGACACGATCAGCGTACTACACGGGGTTCAAACAGCTTTGGCGTGGATGTGACGTTTCACTGAATTGGAAATATCGTTATCTGTATTGTGCTGTCAGTTCCACTTTGCGATTGAGACCCTTAATTTGCGCGTGTAGGTAATCCATCGTTTAAAGAAGTTTTCTATCGTCGATCTTGACGTTGTTTGGCGAGCGTGTAAGCAACTCTGAGGTAAGCCGTCACGTATTTGGTCATGATTCATTGGGGAATTCGTTATCTCATATCAATAGGCTTTGCTGGCTAGGACACGTACTGCGCATGCCCAGCCATCGTCTACCAGATCGCGCCTTATTCACAGCTACAACTCCCAGTTGGAAAAGAAACCACATAGAGGTCAACGGATGGCGTGGAAACGAGGCGTGAAGAAATGCACAGAGCGATTAGGTAGAATAGGTGTCTCTTATGTCTTCCAGGTTGGGGTCTGAAAGACTCCGGAACTGGTTGGTTGGAGACACTGAACGACATGGTAACTAGCCGACTGCGGTGGCATTTCTTATCAGGTGACAGACTGCTTGAAACGGTCTGTATGCATGCACAATTAGATTGTTTACTCTGTGTGTTGAACATCGAGATTCACTTTCTTTTCTCGGCCCTCGAATTAAGGATAAACCTTATCTATCTTATATTTTGTCACTTACATTGTGTACATTGACCGTTTGATAGCGATTAGCGCAGTTCGCTTCACTATAGCTCACTGTACATGGATGATGATGATGACGATCATTCGTCTTTCACACGTGTCCCCTGTCGTTCTTCTATCCACGTATCCACTTGTACAGGTCACGTTCACCAAACGGAAATTGGGCCTGATGAAAAAGGCGTACGAGTTGAGCATACTGTGCGATTGTGAAATCGCTCTGATCGTGTTTACCAGTTCGCAAAAACTGTTCCAGTACGCCAGTTCCGATATGGACAAAATTTTGCTCCGCTACACCGAATTCAACGAGCCACACGAGTCGAAGACCAATCGTGATATTGTGGAGGTGATTGCTCACGTGTTATCCTTTGTCGGTATTCATCTACTCTCATTCTCGGTTCCGCTAGTCCCATCTCGCTGGATACCCTCGGAGGTTAAGCAGAGATGAATGCTACCAGGCCCGTCCCCTCGCGGGGTTGTGGATAGGAGGGGGATATCTACTTCACCGAAAAACAGATTAGCTGTGAATAACATGTGTGGCATAGAGCAACAAATAAGCAATCGCGAACAAACAGCGGGGGGCACTAACTATCAGCGTGTGTGGTGGTAGGTTTCAGACTGGTCACCCGGCTCCTGTTTGAACAAGAGCCGCATAAGCCCAATGTCGACGATGTCCGGACAAAGTTGGATGTGACGTGCCTTTTGAAACTAAAAT